CAATCTCGATAATAAAACACACACTTTATATAACCGCCACTACCGCTCCTTTGACTCAATTATCTATTTCTATATCCGTCTATCTGCAATTAGCTCTCCGCTTTATTTGCCGGGCTTATATCTAAAAAAAGAGGGCGCCTAGAACAAACTAGAGTTGCCAGGAAAAGTCATGATCTTTCTAGAGCCTCATCACGTGTTACCAGCGTCACGTGACTTCCGCTATCGTAACAGTAGACTAGATGGAAGGCAACTACTCAACCTCAATCATAACCTAATTTTAGGCTATTCTTTACCATCAAATAGCGGGATTAATTGTCAATTATAATGCTCCCATGACTGAAGGGAAGAGCATATTCGGTTATAGGATTCTGTAGGTTTCGAATTCAAGAGCTCTGGCCATTGCATCCTGCATAGTAGAGGGGTATGTTTGCTTTACTTGTTTTTTCAGTAGTGGACTGTCCAAGGCGTCTACAAACTGATCCCTCAGCAACAGCTTGAGGACATTGGGTGGTGCAGTTGGGTAGGCCTTGTGTGCCATACTTTCCAAGTCCTGTGTCAGCTCTTGCAGACTGTCCCCTTTAGCACGGACTCTAGTCTTAAACCTAGCCTTATAGACTTCGGACTGATTTGGGGTTTCATACCTGAGTTCTAAAGCAGCTACCAGTGCTCTATAGTTGTGCCTGTCGTATGCTGACAACTGTCCAAGTATTTCCAGTTGTTGTCCCTTCAGGCTCATTGCCAGGTACACTGATTTCTGCTCCTCTGTCCATCTATTCATTTCTGCCAGGAGCTCAAATTGTGCTCTATATGTTTCCCATGGTGCCCTCCCATCAAATTCCTGTGGTTTCCTTCATACTAGATCACCCCTATTGCTGACACCCATGTCTGGAATGTGACTTCTAGCAGGACTGAAGATGTCTGCATTATGGTTTAGGTGTGGGGTCTCAAAGGGGTATCCTGTTGTCTGGGGCTGTTTAGGTCCATGGCTAATATATCCTTCCTGTGTAACAGACAGTAAATCGCCCTTTAATGTATTTAATTCACTTTGTAATTTACTAATCTTTTCCATTTGTACTTCTTGTTCCAGTTGCCCCTGGTGCTGGTTTTCTTCCCACTGCTGTAGTCTCTCTTCTTGTTCATTTTATTTTTTCTCCAACAACTGCTATAATCTCTCTTCTTGTTTCTTTTGCTGCTCTTGTATTGCTGCCATCAAATCTGCTAAGCTGTAGTTTGATTTGCCACTTCTCATTTCCATCTTCTTCTTTTTTTCTGTCCCACTCTCTGACACCTATTTGTTGCATATCTGCTTGTTTGTTAATTACCGGTAGAAATTCTTTCCGAGGAACTTCTGCGATACAAGACGTTTCTTGAGTAAACCAGTTTATTCTTTCTCGATACAAGCTTTTAGTACACATTAATTCCACAGTCAGTACGTTTCTCGTCACTTTAAACTTAACAACTTTTATGATACACGCTATAAATCACAGCGATTCAAAATCTCGATAACTTCGCTCTCTACGAGTGCAAAACACACACTAGCTCGAAATAGAATCGTAAATTACCCGACACTCACCATGACTACTGTTCGCTTTACCATCCATACATCTCCACAGGCTTTCACTGCCAGGCTTATATACTAACAAAGAGGCGTTTCTCGATCACACTCGAATTTCCCTGATAATTCGAGAAACTCAGTCACGCATGCGCTAACAGCGTCACGTGACTTCCGCTGTTGCAGCACTGCCCCTTCCTTAGTACTGTCCATCCCGAACAATAGCCACTTACATTAAACCAATAGATTATTAACAATAACTTAATTAAATGTACAGAATTTACAAACATAAAAATTAAAATACAACAAAGTCTCTTTATTTTACAGGACATTTCTTCTTTTATACTGGTCTCCATCTTATTGGCTTCTGCTTTACGCTGTCGTAACAATATATTGACATGATATTAGCATAAGTCATATTGTTTGACTGACAGAAGTATAATTGCAGATATAAATTGAAAAGTGGATTTTAAAATAATTAAATTATATTTTGTCATGTTATGACATTTTATATAAATAAAAGTTTATGAGAAAATGCATATCTCCCATGTTAACATTTTTGGTGTGCCACCAAATCTTATCCCCCATCGAAATCCTATTCTGCTTGGCACCACTGTATGCGCCAAATTGTATGCCCTACTTAAATTCTATCTCTGTTTTCCTATTTTAAAGGTAATAGGACTAAAATGAACCAATTTATCGACGTGAACAATCTATCTTAATGAAGTAGAAGAAGCATTACAATTTCATTGATACTGTTTTTGGCCTGGTTTATTATCTTATGACACTGGATGTTTAAGTCTCGATTACATCACACGTTTGCACATTACAATCAGAAAGATAGGATTTGAACATTTGGCAGCACACCAGCATAAACTAGAGTATTCAGTTTATTGCCCCATAAAGGATCAGTCAAATTAAATATCAGTAGATTTTATCATACACTCGCACAGCAGAGCTTATATATAAAAGAAACACACAAGCTTTAGCATCGATGTTAGTTTTATTTCAATTCATCCCTTATAATTCATGCTCTACAGTAAGCTATACGTCCAGCTTCTACATCTTCCATTACCTGCTTAATCCAGTCAACATAGGCAGATACTTTCGCAAAAATTGCCGGGTGTTGTTTGACTCCGCACGATCTCGGTCCCCAAGACACTGTGCCATATAGATTCCACATTTTGTTCTTAGGTACCACCAGGGGACCGCCACTGTCTCCCTAAATACGCACAAATAAATATTCATAAGTCCCTACTCACTATACAGCTATGTTTTGTTAAATAACAATATTGAGCTCCAATAGCTACTGGAATAATAAAAGTGAGAAAGGAGTTATTGGGCAAACAGTTGATAAAAATGGTTTTTACTCTGAGTAAATTGTTACTCTGAGTTTATTGCAAGGTTTCAACTAGTGTGTTGTAGTCATCGTCAGTTTAACCTGGTTATGATAACAATACAGTAGCTAAAAGCTGAGGTTTGATAAATACCAACATAGAGTGAAATTTTTGTCTATCCTTTATTTATGTGATCTTCTCTCAAGGACTCTATGAGAATCCAAAAACTTATAAGCGTTGAAGTGAATCTGCTATAACAGTAATGATCATCTTACAAGCCTGTCAAAACATACAGTTACCCATTAGTCTCGTGATGTCACAACATCATACCTTTTGGAAACTATAATTTTAAAATCATCACAACAATAGCAAGTTGGAATAGTTAAATAACCAAAGCACGTGGTCATGAGAAGAATTAGTGATAAAATAGATCAATTCTCACAACCAAAAATCAATAATTTAGAAAAGTTCACTGATAATGAATTTTTATTTCCTTAAACTGTGGAAACATCCTAATGATTTACATATTAAATTCTATTATATATGCCCCACAGTGGCACAGCGGTATGTCTGCGAACTTACAACGCTAGAAACCAGGTTTCGATACCCGTGGTGGCAGAGCACAGATAGTCCGTTGTGTAGCTTTGTGCTGAACTTCAAACATCCATCCATCTATTTTATATACATATGTATAATTGTCAACTTTTGTAATTTATGGTTAAACAAACTTCACTTCACGGAATAATAATAACATAAGAAACTTTAACTAAAATTTTATGATCAGGCTAAAAGGATTAGGTTTCTATAATACCTTATTCCAAGTATAAAAAGTAGATATGAAGTCAAATCAATTATTCAATTTACCACTTCATTGTATTATACCGGTTTGGGGGGGATTCCGTCTGTAATTAGTAATCATGGATAATGGCAAAATCGAAAAATTATGAAACTATTAAAATAGTTTTGTTTTTCGACTTGCCCTTCTTCAGAGTTACTTTGAGAAATGGAATTCCCCGAAATCAGTATAACTCAGTTAGTGGCAAGTGGTGAATCGAATGATAGATTAAGCTTTATATGTATTTCTAGTACCATAAACAAGTTGTCTACTGAATAATATAGAGGAGTAACTTAACAGCATCAATGTTACATATTCTTCAAAACATATATAAGTACGGGTTTCACTGTGTTGAGTAAAAAATATCTAGAAACACATAACGTTATTTCAAACTCCTGTTTCCCTTATATATATATATATATATACAGTAATCAAACATTTCATATAAGAACCAATACTGATTAATTTTCATTATATTATTTAATTTCTGTCTTGTTGTCCCTGTTTACTAATTGCAGTTACGATTAATTAATTCTAATAGAATTGTAAAAAAGCGAAGAATAGTTTAGACTCTGATAAGTCCTGTGGCTACTTATATGAACAAATAAATCATATCTTACCAAAAATATTTCAGTCTAAGCAAAAATTTATATTTATGGTATGCCTAAATAATAAAAGAAATTATACTTACAAAACAGTGTTCAAAACATTAAACAAATAGCAATCTTTGTGTTTAGTTATCATAAAAGAAACATAAGACTGATACAACAATGTTCAAGAGATTAAACAGATAACATTCTCTGTTAATAATTATCGTATAAAAAATAGAAAAGGACGCTTATAAAATAATGTTCAACAGCTTAAACAGATAATAGTCTTGGTGCCTCCATATTATAATAGAATAGACACAACATTTACAAAACAAAGTTCAACAGTTTAAACAGTATCACAAAAACCGGGTTTCGATACTCGTGATGGGAGAGAACCGGATAACCCATTGTGTAGTTTTGTGTTTAATAACAAAACAAACTATTAAACACTATATTTGGCTATTATTATAATAAAATAAAAATGATACTTACAAAACAAAGTACAATAGTTCAGATGGATAATAGCATTATATTTAGTTATCATAAGAAAATAAATACAACAGTTCAACAGTTTATACAGAAAATAGTCTCTGTTTCTAGTTCACATGAAATCTAAACATAACATTTACAAAACAAAGTTCAAAAATTTCAAAGTACAACATTCTCAATGTGTAGTTATCGTACGGATATTAGCATAACACCTGCAAACAATGTTGAACATTCGGACTTGCTTATCATAGTCGAATAAACATAACACTAAAGAATATTCCATAATATAGACTGATAATAGTCTATATATCTATCATCATAAGGAAACAAGAATAACGTTTACAAAAAAGTTCATCAGTTTATATAGATAATTGCCTTTATATCTAGGTATGATAAGAAAATAACCATAAAACTTAAAAAACAAAGTTCAATAGTAGGTTGTTTGCTTGTTAGGATTTTAAAGCCACAAACAAACGGTACTATATGTTACAAAAAGTTAATAAAAACGAAAGTATATACGGTAAAAAAAGGATAAAAAATAAAACATACCAAAAATGAATATTGCTTATAAAGGAGGTTAAAATTAGATAGAATTAAAAAGTCCAATGTCCGTAAAAAGGTAAAAACACGATCAGTCTGGACAGCTTCACGGTCGCCAATGACAGTGTTCAACATCAAAGTAAATTTCGTGACAAAAATTGTGCTGCTGTTGGCAGTCGCAGGGCGGCACGGAAGTAAAACGTGGGCATTTGTGACTTTAGTGTCACAAAGGCCACACATTGGCTTATCAGCTCGTTCTAACAGAAATGGATGAGTTATGAAACCGTGACCTATGCGTAGCCTAGACAAAACAACGTCCTCTCTCTGATTTTTACGGAAATTAGATGGTCAATCAAAAACAATAGGCTTTATTTAAAAAAAACCTTACTGTGATGTTGCTCTTCCCAAATCAACTACCAACTGACGTGAAGTCTTTCCTTAATGATAGGTCTATAGTCGACATAAGGGACACGCAAGGCTGTGACATCGCCAAAACAGACTAATTCAACTGCGGTATCAAAAACCTTGTTCTCACGAATACCATCATGGGCTAGTATTTTCTGAATGTTCAAGAGAACTGTGTGAGAACTGATTGTAAGCAATCCCAGAGCCTTCAAAGTATAGCCTACAGTATAGATTGTACAGTTAGTGCACTGCTTAAATTCAACATAATCCAGAGCGAGTGAAATTACAAATAACTCAGCAGTGAACACAGAATCTGCAGAAGATATCCTGTGAGCAACCACAAAGCCACAGTAAACCATGGCAGGGCATACTGTGTCATCAGGTTTCTTAAAAATGGAAGCATAAGAATGGTTCAAATGGTGTTCATTAAAGAGAAGATGTTGCTTCCAGTCAGGGGTATCTGACATTTTCAAAGGAATGACACAAGCAAAGATGGTAACAAGCCATGATAGGATAAGCTAATCATCAGATTCAGCAATATCACCCAATGCAAGTCCCATTTCAGTTAACTGTGCCTGGATACAAAGGCCAAATAGGAATAGCAGACATCAAAATGCAAAAAAATCCAACCCACCGAAATATAAAAACACAATTCCAGGTGGGATGCTGAGGTAAGGATTGGAGTCTTACAGCATACTATAAAGAAAGTTGCAAGTGTCTGAAGAGAATGGAAGGTTCATAGGGCTTAGTGTACGAACTCTGAACCAGAATAGTGTAAAGTCAAAGCCTCTTATGATGTAAATAATTCAGCATTCTCAAGGCCTAGTCCCTGGCTGAACCAGTGACCAGAGATCCATGGTTCAGCTTCAGTCGAATGAGGACACTATAGGTCTTCAGCACAGAACACCAACCTGCTCCCCAAGAATTAGAAGAAAAGAGATAGAGAAAGTTCAGTACCTTTGTACAATTGACAAATAGCTGCTTAATGTGTTGAACAAATATCAGTTTACAATAAAAGAGAAGTCTTAAGAAGTTTGTCTCAGCCACCATGGAAAGAACATTACTACATAGGCAGAGCTCTGGATTAAGGTGCCATCGCCACCGTCAATTTATAGGCAAACAAACAGTTCTAGATGACAACAATTTGAAATCGTTTTCTGTGCACCACTTCCACAAGTGAGTGAGAGCAGTCTGAAGCTGACACTCAGTAAACCCCATATTCAATGACTAACAGGAAATGTGGAAGACTGTTTGCAGGAAGTTTCATTGATATTATTGATCTTAATGCTGACAAGTGGGACACTCAAGACACAGTCATTGTGGAGGACTGGGACAACACTGATCCCACTCAGACTCAAAATGATTCACATGCTAAAACATTACAAACAACAATTGGTAAATAGTTATGTAACCCATTAGAATAGAGGTTCTAAAAGATGCCAAACCGTCATGTATTGTCATATGCCTTCTCAAGATAAAAAAGATTGAAACAAGATGCTCCCTCTTGGTGAAGACTTCTCTGGTCAACGTTTCAAGCCAAATCAGGTGATCGAGGTAAAATGCTGCCTTGAAAGTCACACTGGGTAGGGGTGAGGAAATTATTTGGTTCCAGAAACCAAGCAAGATTAGGATTAACTATCTTTCCAAAAGCTTACAGAGACAGCTAGTTAAATCATTAGGTCTATAATTAGGAGAAATACTGGGATCCTTTCCAGGCTTAGAAAAAGAGATGAAATAGCCTTACACCTTCCATCTAGAAAATCATTTTATTGTCAAATCCTGTTAAAAACAACCAGAAGAAGAGCAAAAGAGGCAGGAGAAATATGTTGCAATATGTCATAATGAATATCATCAGGCCCAATTGATGTAGAACAATATTAAGCTTCACCAGCACAAGTTGTCATCATGGTCCTAGAGACTTTGGGATCCAAAAGAAGTTGGTAATCTTTCAGCCAATGACTTGATGGCCAAGAAGGCATGAGGAAAATGTGGAAGTGCTGAAATTGTGAGAAAATCAGGAACTTTAAAACATTCACTGCCAAGGGGTTTACCCGAAATTTTCACTTAGTCCAAAGGGATGTTATTAGTGGAATGGATGCAGTAACACCAAACGAACATATTCCAGTCTTTTTATGGTGATCTGGCAATTTGACACTTGAAACTTGACAAAACGTTTGACATGGGTCAGTATACAACTGTCGGACACATATGATATACGGTAATTAAATATTAGATATTATATGTCACTTCCTAAGCAATAATTGTGATAAACAATCTTTGAAAAAGAAAACGAAAGGCCCAAAAAAGATATTCGTGAAGATTAAATACTTGAAGCCTTAGGACACGACGGTGTCGATGATGTGGATTTGGATCCAGAGGAGTTAGATGTTGATCCATACTAAAAATCGCTTGGTGGTGAAACTCTTAATGATGACTTTGATAAAATAAAATTATCAGATGATCTTATATATGACATAGAAGCCATCAGTATGGAATAAATTGAGGACAAGAGAGATGAGAGAGAAGGAAACATCTTAAAAAAGGTAGTGTGGCTGATCTTTCCTTAAGGCAGCAAGAATTTTCCTTTACTGGAAATGAACAAAAACTCGTTGCAACATCCACAAGTCAAGACAGTCAGCCATCTAGAGATCGAGATAGACACCAAAGCAAGAAGAAGCCAAGAGCAGTGATAGGATATAATATGAAATGACTGGTATAGATATATCAGACCAGTTGTCATCTTATGCAACGACTCTTTGAATAGGACTGAAATGGTATGAAAAGCTAGGAATGGAAATCCTTTTTGGTGTAACTATTGTCAATACATTTCTTATATATAAGTCTAAGGCCAAGAAAACTATTAGTATAAGGACTTTCAAATAATGATAGCTAGGGATTTGATAAAAATTCGTCAACCAGGCAGACAATCAAAGCCAAAGTGTATTAACATTCATACCTTGATGGTAAACAAAGATAGAATAATAAACATGTAAGAAGATACTGTATACTTTGGTATGTAAAGCTAAAATATGAAATAAAAAGAGCAAAAGCAAGGAAGAAGAGAGAAAGTGTGCCAACACATTGCCCAAACTGCCAAAACATTCCACATATGTACCATAAGTGCTTTGGTGAGCAGCATAAAAATCGGTAACATTTTTTTTGACAAACTTAGTGTGTCAAACTCGTGTTGTTGTTTTTTAATTTGTGAGAAAAATGTTGGATAATATGAAATAAAATAGCACAACTACCGATAAGTTTTTTAGACAAGAGAGTCAATATAAACCTTCTTTTGAAACAAAAATTTCAGGACAGAACCATAGAAGCTATATCTAATTGTTTGTCTGAGGGTGCTTTCAGGAAATAATATGCGTAATCTTGTATAGCATCAGCCACAAATGACCAACACAGCTTGAACTTTATATCAAATTGTCAGTCATCCATGGCTGATGCAACTTGAAGAATACTGACCCACGTCAGCAACATGTGGCTAACTTGACATTTAATGTGTTAAATCAACAACCTCTTGGCCATTGGATAGGGAGATCGAAAGAGGATGAGGGGCATACTTCATAACAACATTTGAAACCTTTTCCCAAACATCCTTGGAACTGATGGTCGAAGGAATACCAGAAGTGAACTTAATCCAAGATTCCTTCTGGTTTGAACATCTGACCTGCTAAGCATGAGCAGGAACCTGCTGAAAGGCCATGCGGTTGTAAAGATTAGACTATCTGCAGAAGATATTTCGGGCCTGTTTCAGAGCTTTCCATGCTCATTGGCAGTCAGGAGTCCACCATGGATAACGATATTATGGCAAATGTGTCGCGGTTTCAGGGATTGTACAAATAACTGCCTGGACAATACAATCATTCACTGCCTTCTTGCAGTCGTTAACAGAGGGGAGGTTAATGACAGCAGGATCAAGCTCTGAGAGAGTGGTGATGGTGATCGAGACACTTATCCTGCTCTAGTTTTCATTGTGGCACATGAGACAGATGGTATTGCCTGTGGGTTAATGTCCACTCTTCAAGAGAAACAAGGAAGAAAGGAAGAGGAACAAATGAATAGCTAAACGGCAGTAAAAAATTGAATTGAGACGTGAAAATGTGTGTATATGATTCAGTATTGAAGACAGAAAGGTTATGATCCGAGAGCATACACACTCCACTGATTGAATCTCCCAGAATGAAGAAGAGAGATGGCAACTGCTTTATAAGATCATTAAGGTCCATTTGATCATAACCACCTCCCAACAACATGTAAGGGGAACAAATTGTGGTGGTATGAATGATGGAGACACAGATGGTAACTGCCTCTGGTTTTGTATTGAGTAGGATAGCCATGGTGGTAGTATACCAGTCAACGAGCAGTGCCACACATCCACGAGCCCATCCATCACACAAATTGTCTTTCCTGAATAAGGAAAAATGGTCTCAGAAACGTCTCCTATAAGAAGAAACAAACAGGATGATTAGAATCAATTAAGACCTTAATGTCACTAAATTAAAATGGAAACCTCTATAATTCCACTGTATCAAAGGGATCTTTTTTACCTAAAAGAAGCAGAATATCTAGGTGCATAGCCTTTTTGTTTTTGTTAGGACTGTGTCATTTGTGTTTGTTAGAAAAATGTCGATTGACCTCCATGGAACCTGCTCTGTATTGATGGGGAAGGTCCCCGTCATGTGAACGTGAGTCCGTTGAGTAAGTGGGTAACCAAATGATGGTCTACACCTCGGCGCCGATGTAAAAAAATCCGAGCATTCATTGCTATCAGCAATAAAGACAGAGATAGAAGTAGATATTGATTTATCTACATGTAAATCCAAGGAGGCCAGAAGATGCTTAACACAATGAGAAATCAACTCGTTAACAAGAACAAATAGATCTGTCTGTACTCCTACCGTGATAGTGGAATGAAATGCTGTATCTTATTTCCATGATGGAAGAGAAGATACATCTAACGTGTTTCAGGATAAGAACTGTTGTTTACAGTTTTTAACTTCTGTATATCCTTCTTCTCTATACATTTTAGGCATGACTGAAAGTTGAATTAGTGGGAACCATTGCAGTTAACAAGTGTGGGTCCAATTAACACTTGTAGCTGTCATGACGTTTTCTACCACAACCAACAAATGTCAAATTGCCATTACAAGGTGTTTTAGAGTGTCCAAATTGCTGGCATTTGAAACATCGGAGAAGATTAGAAATGAAAGTCTCACCTTGCAGCAGATAATTTGTTTTGACAGTGGCAAGTCGAAATAAGAATGTGAGTGGGCTGCATTATACAAGTGGAGATATGTTCAACATTTGAAACTCCTGGAAAAATCAGTAAGAACCTCTTTCTTGGGGATGTTATTCAGATCCCTCTCAGCAGTCACTTCTCTCGAGGACTTCAAAGCAGCATGAGAATCAACTTCAATAAGTGTATTCTCTGTAAACTTTTATTTGAAGAGAGGCTTTCCACCAATATGTCTCCAGATTGTAACTTATTGATCAATTTAGGAGAGCTGACAAGCTTCTCTAATCTCTTCTGGATGAAAAAGAGAGACATCTGCCCTAGAGATTTGTCTGATACCAAATGGAGAATGAGAAAACGATATACAGGAATGCCAAAAGATAGTAACTGTTGAGTAAAGTCTTCCACATTTGGTCGTTTGCCAATTATGTTTTTTTTTATTTGACTATTTTGATTATCCGTGAAAAAAAAGAAGATATTCAGAGCCCACAGTCCCCATCCACCATACAATCCTAACAAAGTATGAATTAAACAGTCAAACTAGGATAGTGTAGCTACTCCAGGGTTTTGTGGGCATTATACCCACCAGACAAAGCTCACAACACCCATTGAGGACGTTTAACACTGGCACTCGGTTGATCCTAACCACATAGGTCCAACTTACTGACTCTGAGGCGCTCCCAGAGCCACCCACCTACAGGAATTCAAGATCAAAGTAATGTCTTGCAGTGTCCTGACATCATTCAACCACCAGGATCTTCTCCTCTCCTTCACGAGTCACTATGTACGGTAAACACGAAGGTTGATATGTGGATCCAAGAGAAGGTAAACTGTACAGACAAAAACCTTACCTGGGAGGCCCCCTCCCCACGTTCAGGAATCCAAGTCGAGAGGTATTCAACAGTTTCTACAGATAAAGGTCTCCATGATAATTATCATACAAAAATAATAATTATTATTGCAAAACAGTCTCCATGGCTATTATAGTAAAAATAAACATAATACTTATAAAACAAAGTTCAACGGTTTAGACAGATAATAGCATTTAAATTTAATAAGCATAAGCAAATAAACGTATTACTTACAAAACAGTTTGACAGTTTAAATATATAACAGTCTCTGTACCTAATTATCATAAAAAATAAACATCACACATTCAAAAAATTCAAAAATTTAAACATATATTAGTCTCTACGCTTAGCTATTAAATTAAGATTAAAATAAAACTTGCAGAATAAAGTTCAACAGTTTAAAGAGATAATATTCTTTGTGTCTACTTATCGTAATAAAATAAATACAACACAAAATCGAAACCCGAATTTTAACTTTATAAGTCCTTAGACCTGCCGCTAAGCCACTGGTGGGCAAAACAAAGTGGAACAGTTTAAATAGATAATATCCTGTATGCCTAGTTACTATAAGAATATAAACATGACAAGTTCAACAGTATAAATAGATAATAGTGTGTGTACCTATTATCATAAGAAAATAAAGGTAATACTTACAAAACAGGTGTTAAATCCACCAGTTTCATAACCAGTACAGATGGAGTTCTTATTCAGTGGAAGTATAAGTTTGTAATTTTGACACTTATTCCAGCTAATAACTGGAACCATCACCTGTTTTAGCACTTCAAAATGTCCAGTTCCTGTTAGAAAATGAAGAAGAATTATATATCACTATCAAGTTTTAAAACGTTGAACAATTGAAACTATTTTAAGAGATTAATCAACGTCTTAGATATAATTGTGTCCTATTTATTAAACGCATGAAAAGATGTCGTTGGTATTATGTATAATTTTCCCATTTCTGTAAATTCTACTAGTTCTTGATAATGTTTCAGGTGTTTCAACCCTTCAACCATATGTTTTCGATCAAGAAATATTTTAGTAATTAAAACAATGGAAATGTTTTAATATATTAACTAAAGTTCGTTCTTTTTGTATAAGTTGAAAATGTTACACAATATATGTGTATTTTTAATTAAAGTAGCTGTTATTATTACTTTGATTTTTTTTTCTCCATAGCTAATCGTGCACTTTCGAAGAGTTATAACCGACAAACTGAATACAGAACAATTGTTTCGAGTAATGCGACATTATTAAATACAACAAGAGTTTTATTGAGGTTTTAGAAATAAAGCTTCTTTCATGAACCTTAGGGTAGACAATATTTCATTTTCTGTAATCTAACACACCATAAATCAAATGTGTGTTGATAGTGTGGATTCTGAACTGTCGGTTATATCATTATTTTAAACAATATTTCCTCTTCCACTGTTAAAGCATGAGTTAATTTTCAACCATTTCCATTGTTTAAACAATAGTTTATTTATAACTTCTAGTATTATACTACAAGCTAATCTTTAACACTTTCTATTGTAAAAGCTCGAGTTTATGTTTATTCTCTTCAGCACTAATTAATCTGACGCCTTCTTCAACTGTTAAAATAGTAGTTAATCTTTAACTTCCTCCAGTGTTAAACCACTAAATAATATGAAAACTACAATCGCTGTTGAAGAATTACTTAATCTAGCAACTTCTTTTATTATCAAAGTACTTATTAATCTTTAACCTATTCCACTGTTCAAAATCTCCTCTATTGTTAAAGTACTTGTTAATCTTTAACCTCCTCTTAATTATGCAAAAGCTAATCTGTCAACTTTTCCATAATGGTACATTATGTAATCAGAATACCAATCTACTAATACTACACTAGTTATTTTATCTACCAATTCACCAGTATTGCATTAGTTAGCCTAACAATTCTTCCTCTACTACTTCATTACCTAATTTATCTATCTTTCTTTGAAAGTGGATTTAGGCAGTATTTTCAATATGTGGACTGAATTAGTTTTCTATGGACTTCTCCTGCCGTTTTTCCTGGTTTAGAAACTGTTCTTGAGGTTAATGAAGAGTTCAACATGTAGCCCGAAAAGTCGTCTCAAACCCAAGAAAATACCAGGAAATAAATCATGGAAAAATGAGTCTACTTGTCTAGCATTTTATTAAAACTACATTGATTAATTTGTATATATTCCACTAACATCACATTAGTTCATCTGTCTACCATTCCATTAAAACTACACTAATTAATCGGTAACTATTCCATTAATATTACATTAATTAATCTGTCTACCATATCACTAATACTACTTTAGTTAACCTATCTATCTCTCCACTAAGACTGTAATATTTAATGCTTCGGATTTCGTAGTTTTATTGTAAGCCTAAGGAGTTAACAAAATAAGTGAGTTTTTCGTTACCAAAAGTCGACCCCCAGCCTGTTGAATGAACAAACGTTCCTGGTTGTAGTTCTTCGTCCTTCTCTGGCAGACAGACAGGTTGGATAACATCTGAGTAATACACCGGTGCGTTCAGTTGCACAAGAGCTATATCATTCTGTTTAGAGGAGATTATCTTATTAGGACACAAAGAAAGTATTCCGAAACCACACAGAGAGATTAGTTTATTATTATTATTATCCGTGAAATGTGATGATGGGATCACTTGGAGCGTCTCCAAGTTTTTATAATGTAAGGTACAGACAACACAATTCCAGACGTGGCATCATATCGCCTAACCGTAGCCTTAACATGAGGGTCACATGTTCTAATTTATGAACTAAAGAATTGCCAGGAGACACGGGTGTGTCAAGGGAGTGGCGTTAATATGAGAATTAACTGCTCTTACCCATAAAATAAAGACGTAGTAGAAAAAAAGAAGAAACTTATCTAAAGTTTTCTTATCCACGACTCAACATATTCTTACAATATATCTCATTGTTTTATGTAAATATCATTATTTTCAATGAAAATGATTAAATATTCACAAAGTTTCATCTTTGTTTACACATTTGAAAAGGTTGTATTAGCAATATCTAATCAAAATGTAAGTTTTGTTACCCAGTTATAAGTAAAATAGATTGTCAATAAAAAAAATCATAAAGATTTTTTCATCCATTCTACACTTAGATTATAATAATTCTGCCGTGAACGGCATAGCACTTTGCACCGGTACACTAGACACTAAGTAGACATCAAAGAACTAAATTGGATTAGATGCATAAGCTCGAATATAAAACATATAAATATACATAAAACAGTATAGTATTTCACGTTGATGGTAACGTTATGTTTATGCCAAACCAGCCAGATAGAAAGGTTTAAAATATTTCTAAAATGTATTTAAAGTAAACTACGCAAATGCATATATATATATAGCAGTATTAAGATAAAAGAGCTCATTATAGAAGCAGGAGAAACATTCCACATTACCCGCTTGTACTCTAGTGGACCCTTTATTTTAGAAACCTAGACAAATATTAATACATTTCTTTCACTTACAATGGTCTTTTTTTTTTCAATAGTCGTAATCATAATGTAGTGAAATACCCTCTTTTATGGCTAATAGTGTATGTATTAAACTTGTTTGATATGGGTCACTGATGATAGCGTAATGTCGTAATTGGCACAAAGTTGTATATTTTTAATGCAAATAATGCCTTCCTAATCGAAGCCGTTACATTAGAGGTAATAGAACTTAAGGTTATATAAGTGACCGTGTTAGCGTGCAAAATTTACTATTTTAATTATTTGATATTACATGCAGCGAATCTTAAAATCAACAAATACGACTGTGATACATCATTTTATTGAGTCATTTCTAAGCTAAGGTAAACCTACCAGGTGACGTGAATATTTTGAGATAAATTGTCTGTTTTAAGGCCTAAAATAAGTGGAACCTCGGCAAAGTAAGCTGTTCAATTGTAGAACTGATAATACGTGAGTTGTTCAGTTGAATTTTTCAATGATGAATAGGTCTGTGGGTCATCTAATAATCGCAGAGAACTCCAGTTGAAAGCTTAATGCATGTAAGCCTATGTCTTTACTTTGTGCATCTACAAATATGAAAATAAATTGAAAATATCCACTGACTATATGGTAAAGTGTAAAACTATATATATCAATAGCATTTCTTTTCTAGTTCTCGTGAATTTCCTTTATTGATTAAAAATATTACATTAGAATTGAACTTACCAATAAGTACACACCATTAAAACCACGGTTGACACATATGTGTTTTGGATAACGAACAACTTCTTCAGGATCTTTTTCCCAACGGTGATGCTTTCCAAAGATAAGTTTAAAGCTAGTTTTCCCTCTGTTACTAAAGAAAATATTTGAACAGATTGTTTATAAATCATGGCAAAATAATGTATTGTTTAAATCTTAACCTCGTTTATATATTTCATATCTGATTTTCCTTGAACAATTTTTATTTAGAAAAGAAGGAAGAAATTATTATCTCCACCCGACGACGAGGGTATTGTTATCATTTCTCCGTGTATGTGTGCCGACTGTATAACTCTAAACGTTTTTCTTCATTTTAGAACTGCTGAATATCCCTCGAGGACCAAATAATAAACTTTTAGTGAATTTACGTCAAAGGCCAATGTTACACTGAAAGTCTAACACTTATAATGGTAACAAGTTGCAATTAAAAAAAAAAAACAAGTCAAAACTCACGAACAAATTCAGATAGAAAAGTAACCTTGGCCCTACCTTTTCGTGGGTAAATAATTGTTTGGTGTATATTTTAGATTGGTTACTGTGTAAGCATTAACAAAATGTGAGGTGGGTGTTGCATTCCTAGAGTTTCTATGTAGCTGTTAAACATTTATACTCTTAGATGAAGAGTATAATCTCTCTAAAAGCACATTTACTTTTGTGCATCCTTAAATGTCAATGCTCTACATTAATAAATAAATTACCATATGCAAAAACTTAATATAAAAAGAGAGGTTTGTAAATGCAAATGCATATGTTCAGTTAAGAGGCAACGTTTTGAATAACTATGTTAAACTTTAAGAGGGATATTTTAAAATGCACATATTCAACATCAGCTCAAAATCATTTAGTTATTTGCTTAAGAATATTGGTGATAGAAAAAATACATTTTTATATTTGTCACAGAATAGTACTTTCGTGATTTTTACATATACCAAATGAAATGAAAAAAATGGCGTGATGTCAAAAACCTTCTACAGTATCACTAAACAAAAAAATGTTATCATTATCAAAGTCATTTTATAATAAAATTTGAATTTGATTTGATTTCAATTACAGTTTGAACAAACTCTAATCAATTTACTATTATTCCATTTATTACATCATTAACACCCAACACTATAATACTTTATAGAGAGTATTGTTTAAAAAAATAACTATAAATAAAATTTTCCCAACAATGTTCATCTGAATTTTGAGTTTTAGAAATTACAACCAAATTAGAATATATTTTTAAGTTAGTTTGATCAAACTATTGTTTCAATTAATCAAGATACTAAAATAATTTAAAAAGTGAATCTAATGTAGTGGTTTATTTCAATTATGTTAGGATCTGACTGAAGGCTAATGATGAACATCTTAATCATCTAAAAACAAGTCTGTTTATTAAGAAGGTTACACCACAGCTTAGTTAAAATAACTTCTCTGAATTTTTAGTTGCAGAACAAAATTATCACTGATTAACAGTACAGAACAAGGTGTAAGAGCATATTATTCTAATACTAAATGTGCTCTGAAGAAGTCATGTAAAGTTTCACCTTGACAGGGGTTGGTCACCATTTCAAACATTCGATTGACTGGTAAGAAACACTTAAAAGAAATGCAGCTAAAGATATTTAAGGTTGAAAAAATACTAAAATCCCTTGTAGCGTGTCAATGTCAGATTTTCTGAGATTGGTCAAAATATCTAGCGCATGTATTAACAATACGTTAAGATCGACAAGACATTGATTTAAGCAAAAACATATGACATTAAGTTCGATAGAACATTGATTTCAATACGAATATCGCACATCTACATCGAAAGAACATTGATTTACATAAAACATATCACATCAAGATATAGATAGAACACAAATTTAAATAGCACATACTACATCTCGATCGACAGAATACTGACTGAAAAACATAGCAGAACATAATCGATAGAACACTGATTTAAATAAAAACAAAGCACACAGAGATCCACAAAACACTGATTGAAATAAAAACATATAAACTTATCTAAATAAAAACATAGCACAACAAGACCGCGGAAACACTGATTTGGATAAGATAATTCACGATATTTGTGGGAGAAAACTATATTGGATCATGGCAATTAGGCTTAAGGGATAACAAATACAATTTGAAATGTTAAATATATTTGCCCATATCGGAAAACAAATTCCTTACCATGATCAAATCACTACTATAGTTTCGAGCTATATTACCTCTCACCAGCCCAGTTAGGTCGATGATAGGGAATACTATCCAAATGAGCTTTATATATATACATGTCATATCTTTGGATATGAGAACACTAGCTTCCACAATTGCTTACGCGACACAGTGTCCTGCTGTAAGTATCCACATCGTGTTGATCAAAACCCCTCCACAGAAGTGTCCTTCGGGGTAAGTCCCTGTTTCTTGCAAGCTGACCTGCCAAGGCCAACTGCCTTGGATAGCTTCCTGTCCTCCAATAATTCTGTCTCCATTTCCAATAACAGGTGGGATTGGAGTATACCCACAAACATCCGGATCTATTCTCTTAAAACCTAGAGAGAATGTAAAATAACAACGGTTGGAATATAATCCATGTAGTTACAAATACAAAACATGCAATCGCTATGTACCAGTGGTTAGACATAAAGCTGATAATTATATAAAATTATTTTATTTGTCAAGTTTAAAAGAGCTCTGATCAGTAAAGTAAAGAAACATCACTAAATAAACGTATTCTAAAGAAACAAGAAATATAACTGCTCTAAAATACTCTTAATTTTCGAAAAATATAATACTAAACAAAGGCTAAGCACGTGGTAAAAGTTTAATATGAACAGTTACAAAAAGAGTATTTTTGCTTTATGTTTAAGCGCAAAGTTACACAGTTGGCTATCTGTGCTCCGCGTATATCGAACCTCAGTTATTAACGTTATAAGCACACAAGTTAAACGCTGAGCCATCGGGCTACAATAAAGGACAAACTACCTTTCAAATAGATACAAAAGTGAGCAGATATTCCAAACAATTTACCCACTCAGAGTAGTGTCTTAATATTAGTTGATCATATTTTTTTTTGCGAGACGTATTATACTATAAATGATTGCATTTCATAAATTAAGGCTTGTAAATCTGAAACGGAAGCTTTTGTACTGTTCAAGTTACAATGTCTAAAGACACATTTATTGGCTCGTTCTCTGACAGAAAAATATTTGTATTTACAATATAATAATGAAACACATAGCTATATTTCATGAACCGACATAGAACCTACTGATACACATTCTAACGTGGTAGTGATTGTAAATATCAAAATTGTTGTGTTCTCAAACTTATGAAACAATCTCCGTTTTGAATATGCTGCTTTACATAAATATTTTATACATTTTTAGTTAAATTATTTAGTACATGCTGATCAATGCTCTAAAATACCGGACACCGAAAATAGACAAACACAGGTGATGGATAGATGAGCTTATTATTATAAGCTGTTAAGGCAGCATTAATATAAATAAAAATCTCACAAAAAATTCTAAAGGAATTAGAGTTTACCAACTTGTAAAGCCAATTTAAACTTAATTGTTTCTGATAATTATATCCGTAGACATTAATAGCATAAAGTATTAAATTAAATAGCAAGCACTGTTTAGACACACATGAGCCCGTAAAAAAAAAATAACTGTTCATTACCGCAAGACTGCTCGTCAGTTCCGTCGCCGCATTGATCAACTTTGTCACACATCTGTGACCTGGGGACACATCTGTCATTAAGACACCGCAAATCTTCTTTCGAGCAGGTCGCTAAAGGTAATGTTAATAGGTATATCAGTTTTTGTCACAATCCAAATTAGTAGTTTAATAAACAGCTATAGGTGTTTCAAAAGGTAATTTTCAATTTGTTTTAAACTTTACCATCAATATTCTGCATTACTTCCCTATTTTATGTTTAAATGTATTCTACTAGTTTTTAGCTTGCCTAAATAAATAAAATTCCTGTAAATTTTACAGCCACATATACGGTTTAAACGACGAAAGATGGAGTAATATTGGAATTCAATAGGCCTAAAAGGTGTTATAAAAAGAACTTACAAGCACAAAGGCTTTTAATCATATTCCTCTTAATTTGTAAATCACAGATTTCAAACCAGAAATGCGTGTAAAAAGCATTTCAGATGAATCTTTTGTCTCCCATAAGTCACTATCCAGGAGACCTTTCGGTTAATACCAAAACTCGTCAGCTAGGCTGGACGATACAAAGCTTACCTACATATTTTATAAAGATAGATAGATATTAATTTCTATTTCTACTCGCTACTGGTTGGAAATCCGCAGTGAGAAAAAAGTTGTGCGAAGACAAAAAAAAAAAAAAAAAATCTGTAGTCTAAGTCAATGAATCTCAATAGGTGGGCTACAAGATGGGCTGTTATAGACCTTCTCGGGAGGCCTGGATAACCGAGACTGCCTTATGTGAACCTTGTGCCAGATAACTAAGTGGGCCTTGAGCTACAAAAAAATTAGAAACTCTGACCTAAGTTATCTTTATCTGGCCTATTGGATTTCAATGTCAACTTTCGGCCTTACAACCGTAACTTTGAAATTCTCATTCTGCATATTTAAATAGGTTTTTTGACCAACTTTTTCTCTCATTGCCGAGTTCTTGTATTGGACGAAAAGTTTCTTGGGCAATAACTTGTGAGAGAAAAAAACATCGATTTAAAATGCTATTTTACAATCTACGCTTTGATATTCGTATAGTCAAATTAAGTTAAATGTATTAGAAACACATCTTTAATCTAAATGATTTTTATCGCAAACGTTGGGCCTGTTAGCTAACAGCCAAAATATCGGGTCAATAAAATGTGATAAATCTGTGTAATGTTACGGCTATTTGTCTTTTCGAAGTTTTATTCCAAAATATATAAAAATGGTCGAATTTCTAATAGTTTTTGATTCACTTTATGATGTGTTTATATTCAAGGTTTATATAAGAAGAATTTAAATAACTTACGATCGACATTTAACACCTCGTACTCTAACTCGAAACCAGAAAATTCGAAGATATCGTCGCTTCGAAATTCAATGGAAATAGACGAACCACTGGACAGCGTGAATTTTGAAGGAGCATCATTTCCACAGAACTTTCTCACTACGCTATTCCATTTTTTAATAGCAACAAAGTCCTTATTACACATAGGAGTCAACTCGATTCTCATATTCACAAAACGAAAGGATACAAACTAAATACAGTGAAGAAAAGAACATTATTTAGGATCAGAATATATTATCGTTGACATTTTATTTGATACCAAAGAAATAAATTTACTATCATTCTTAACTGTTTCAAACATACTTCTGTTAGGGGAATGGATTTTTAAGAATAATAGAATATTTAGATATAAAACTTTTATTGTGCACTTTAGGTAAACCTATTTTCTCTTAAGCTGAAGGACATATTTAAAGAATATATTTTCTTCATAAACTGTTGATAGCTATGATTAATAACTTTTGGTAAACAGTGGCGGATCCATAATTTTGAAAACGGGGAGGCGCGATGATTCTGAACGTAAACGAAGAATTTTCGAGACTTCCCTGGTAGGGGTTAAATAAGTTATTTAGATTTGTTATAATTCTTGCTAGATGTTGCTGTTATTGCTTTGTTATTATTTTTTATTTTTTTGAATTTCATATGAAATTTCACTACATTCGTCTCTTCTCAAAGATCCAATTTTTGCAATTATTTTTTTCAAAACGGGGGGGGGGGGCGCCGGGCCTGTATCTGCCCTTGGTAATCTTGTGAAGGATTTGGTAAATGTCATTGTTATAATGATATGAGTACATTTGTAACATTTGCGAATAAAAAATGTTCGTTAAAATAAAACATTACTTTTACGCGTTTAAAAAAGGAAGGCATTACATACCTGATTAGGTCCGACCTTCGAAAACCCCCATTCACACCTGGAATTTCTAGGATAATTGTTTAAATTTGAATCAGATGGAGACCTAATCGTACCTTTCAAACCCTGCATCTCTTGACGCTGAAAAACTCGACAAGCAATAGTAACATCGCCATCGTCTCGAGGAAGAACTGAATGAAATGTCGATTCGATTAATTAAATCACATGACTGCCAAGCCATATTTATTACAAAATGTGTGTCTTTAGCGTTAATAATGGAGGGTTATTTTAGGGAATTAGTGACTCAAAAAGTTTGAAATGTTATGAATATGTATAACTCTCGTCGAGAAAATCGAAACATCGTTTATTGCTGGGTCATCCAAAAACTATACAGAAATAAGAATAACATACACTCATAAATATGTTATTTCTTCCTATTTCACTTATTACACTAAATAACAAAATCATTGTAGTCTTATTCTTTACACCTTATTTAAATATGTAACACTATATTATATAATATGTTCAAAATGATTTCCATTACTCTCAATACATCCTTTCAGATGGTCCTGCTCAAGTGTTCATTTAACACTTGGTTGATTATTTCTCGTACAATAATATTCCACTAGAAAAATACTTTCTTAAACACTAAGCTGTGACATCTTAGGGTATAATCACTATGAGAAAACATAGAATTACACTTGTTTACAACACATGCTTATGATATCATCACTTATTTTAGATCTGAAATTAAAGAGCTTTTGAGCATTTTTGTTTTGTTTGGTGTACTTTATTGGGGGGTTAGTTATGAGTGTGTGTTATTCTAATTTCTTATTTTCTATTACTTTTTTTGTGCCACCATATACTTATACATATCAAATAAAATAAGGAAAATCTAAATAAATGCAAAAGATACCAAACACACTTGACTAAAATAGCGCTTATTTAGTTTTTAAAAGCGTCCAATCAACAGTTTTATACAAAGCACATTAAGATTAGAAAATATGAAATTCTAGTAAACTAATTTTTCACAATAAAAGTGGGTATTCAGTTTCTGGACATCTTTAACCTACATTTCCTCTTTACCTTATGATCATTGCAAAGATGTTGTACATTTCATTTTAACATGCTGTAATGAAGAGATCTATGGTTTAACACCAGCTAGGCTACTGCTATTGTACAACAGGCGGTGTCTTGCTTTGGAAAGCCACCCAGAGATAAATTACAATTTATAATAATAGGCTAACATCATCTGGGCTAATATTATTGTACAAGGGAGAGTTTGAAGAGTGTCTTACGTTGGAAGGCCACCTAGGGATAAACTTCAACCTCTAATAGAACGTTAATTCTATCTAGGCTATTATTACTGTACAAGAGAGAGTGTCTTACGTTGGGAAGCCACCAAAGTTATGCATAAAGTGCATAACGCTGAACCTAGAATAGTACATAACCACGCCATAGTGTTTCCCTATCAAGTGAAGTTGTTAACAGACGTTCAGGAAAATCTACGTACATACGCAGATGTCTATATTTATTATAAACGATGTGTAAGCACGTGAGCGTAGAGCGGACCAGCAGTTCAGATACGTGATATGGAACATCTTGTGAACACCACATGTTCCGATAGCCATAGAAATCGAAGCAGTTGTGTCCTTATCTATTTCAATGGCTAGATTGGAAACCGGATACACCTCAGGGTGTTTCTTTAATAGAGTGGCTTCGAGCTACAGTAAACACTATCTATTCTTATTTATAGTATTAAACGAGCTTCTAAAAACATAAAACAGTTACGTTTGCTTCTTTAACAAGGTTACTTCTAAATATAAGAAGCAACGCTTATAATTATCAGAAGTTTTATTTGTTGCCTGTTTCACAACATATTTATTTTATGATTTCTGTAGTGTATATTGGTGTATAGAAAACATCTTAATACTAGAAATAAACGATTTTATAGCATCAAATAGTTGTTTTTCTTTAATTGGACAGTCAACGTTTCGCTTTACGTTGAGTGTCTAATTAAAGAAAAACAACTATTTGATGTTATAAGATCGTTTATTTCTAGGTTTATTCTAGGAATTAAATAGTTTAAAAATAAATAAATTTCATTTAAAATATACATGATCTCTAGTCTATACGTGTACAATCCCTAGTTATACAAACATATATACTTTCTATGACAAAATAACTAACGTGTTTGTCTTACTGTTAAGCGTAAAACTATAGAATGGCCTATCTGTGCTCTGCTCACCACATGTATCGAGGCCCGGCATGGCCAGGTGGTTAAGGCATTCGACTCGCAATCTGAGGGTCGCGGGTTCGAATCCCTGTCACACCAAACATGCTCGCCCTTTCAGCCGTGGGGGCGTTATAATGTGCGGTTAACCCCTTTATTCGTTGGTAAAAGAGTAGCCCAAGAGTTGGCGGTGGGTGGTGATGACTAGCTGCCTTCCCTCTAGTCTTACACTGCTAAATTAGGGACGGCTAGCGCATATAGCCCTCGTGTAGCTTTGCGCGAAATTCAAAAACAAACAAACCACATGTATCGAAACACGATATTTAGCCTGTTAAGCCTTCAGTCTTACCGATACGACACTGAAGGGCCCTGTCATAGGTAGAAAATAAGATATTTTTGAGAATTTTTTTCTAATTTATCGTGAAATATAGGGTGCAGCTAATAAATATTCTGTAAAAATTCAGCATACATTTTAAATAGAAGCTGTAGGAACGAAGTAAAATAAAAAATTCATTTATGTACCATCACACTATGGTTTATCCTAGTATTTTTTTGTACGTATGTGTGTAAACTCTTTGCCTAAATGTTTAAGGGAATGAGATAAAAATTTATGGATGACTAAATGATGGCTCGAAGTTATTATGGTGACATAAGGTTAGAAGCAAAAGTAATGTTAATAATTTAGATACGTTAGTAAGGAAAGGTTGTAACATAATGTCATCATATTCACAAGAAATAATTCCATTTTATGAAATGACTAGTACTTTCACTAGTTCGTCAAATTCACAGGTAGTGTCTGTTTTCTCAGAACAATCATTTATGTCCCACTTTTAAGGTGGATATTTAACTTTCTACAGTAAGAAATAACGTGATACTGGTGCTGGTAAAACACTTTTCAACAGATAAAATTTTGATGAAAAGTTTAGAGATAAGCGACCTTTACACTCCAGATATAAGATAATATAAGAAATTATATATATATATGGTGTGTAAAGGTCGTTTTTTAAACTTTTCATCAAAATATCAAAATCCTAACCAGTATACACTACAAATTTTGAAAGACAACAGATAACCATTAATCAAAAATGTGATGTCGTCACTCCTATTTGTTGCTGCATTATCTAAATTATCATCAAATTAATCAACTTTGTCACGTGATAGGTTAGCGGTAAGTTAAGGGCTTATGATGCTAAAATTCGGAGTTCCGTTTCTCGAGGTGGACAGAGCGCAAATAGCCTATTGTGCAGTTTTGGGATAAAATATACAAAATAACCAACTTTCTCCTTTAAGATACATCTCAAGATAAAAATCAACAAATGCTAATTAACTGAATGCAAACCTATTAAAAAAATTACAAAAATATGTACATTTTATTCAGCTTCTTCTCCAATCAAAGTTTTCAGTATTTGGTCTAATCATTAAATATTACGTTTCATCTAGTAAGTTGACTGGCTCTTCCTCAGTCTGCTCTTTTATCTGCACGCTAATCATCAGTCAACGTCAGTTCTATTAGGGTCGAGTGTGGCCTAATGGTTAGTGTGTTCGGACTGTGAATAAAAGGATTCGTGGTTCGCGCACCTTTACCTCTGAAACGCGCTTTTCGGACCATGAATGCATACGTTATAAGAGTGACGGACAAATTCTACTATTCCATCAGATAAGAGTATCCTAAGGTTGGTAGTGGGTCATATTGACTAGCTGCTTTCCCTCTAGTCTATCAGTTCAAAATTAGGGGTGTTCAGCGCAGACAGCCCTTTCGTAGCTTTGCGTGATATTCTGAAACAAACAAGCCAACCATTCTTCACCTGTTATTTAACTCATAACTCATTGTTAATTCATTCATCGATAGGCATCTCATGCATTTATTTCTGTTCATTCATCTATCTATACGTCCGTGTTTTCTCGTTTGTGGGTTTGCTAGTCCATTCCTAAGTTACTTAGCTCTGTCTCTTTTTCTTCGTTCGACTCGTTGTTGAAACATCAACGAACAACTGACTGCTGATCTAATTTTATTCTCTCTTTGTACTTTACTTATCTCATTTAAATTTCTGTTTCTTTGTCTAGTTTGTCATTATTCATCAACCGATATAAAAGATTTCTATTTACGCGAACTTACGTATATGGGTATCCATGAAAATATTCAATGGACTTGAAATGCAAAATACACCCACCACAACTTCAGCTTAAAATTTGTATCAGTTAACTTCGATTTTATATAATAACTAGTTTTTCACTTCTCTTGAAAAATGGAAGATAGTTTTATTATAAATATTAAATGATTAAAACGCTATAAATAAATACACTGTTAAAAAATCTGTAAAATAGTTTAATATTAAAATATTTAGTAGAACTCAAACGTTATCCATTAAAGTGACCTGCTTTATAACTGTTAATAACTCTACAACTCTTTCTTCCAGTCTGGATGTGCTACAAAGCCAGAGTATGTTCCAGTAAAAAAGTCATTTGAAAAAGTAGGACCCACATAACAGAACACTGTCGATCAAACTGAACTTAGATATCAAATCTTAAGCTTTTATATGCTTTCCAGAAAATGTGGTCCAAAACTGTTAAAGATAGATTTAAATGTAGAACTAACAGATTTCTAAACTTAAATATTCTATCCAGAAAATGTATAGACGTTGGAACCGGGAGAGGGGGGGGGGTGCGTGCCTTGTAATTAAAATGGGTTCTGAATATCATTGAGTCCTCCAAATATTTTGTTAACAACAATTTTTTATTTGCAGTCGGATGCATTATTTGAATGGAACAGCATTCATTTAAATCACATTGATAAGATTTACTCTTATCATTAACCAGGAAGTGTGTGAAAGATAAGAACAATTGAATAATTTAATATTCTGGTTGTATATAAAATTAGTAAGAAAGTTGTGTAAACATTTTGATTTAAAGCGCAAGAATGTTTGGTACTCAGCGTTGTGTGAATCAAGCGAGTTGAGTTTAGTTATAAACTCAGCAATATAAAAAGAACAAAACTTTTATTGAAACATTACCTATTCATTCATTAGTTTGAATTGACTACTCAGTGTTGTAAATCTTATTCATTTTACATTCAGATAAAGATTTAAATAGTATGTACAAATTACAAATGATTAATTTTAGAACATCCTATAAACCTTAAAACGTATATTTTAAACAACATTCAATCTCTTCATCATGTATTACTATTACAAATGTGTGCCTCCGTGGTTTACGGTGTTGGTCTGTGGATCGCAAAGTACAACATTGGTTCCGCAGTGCCACTGAACTGCTCTGCACTTTCAGCTGTGAGAGCGCTTTACAACAGTGACAGTCAACTCTCTAGTTCAATCAAAGCCGGACAAAGCTTATGTAAAAGCAAGTGCTGCTAACTGGCTATCTTCTTACTAATCAGTAGTTCAAAATTAGGGACAGCTATACCTAAACCCTAGAGGTTCCTGACCTGGCCTTTCAATTTGAAAATATAATATGGAATAAAAATTAATGTAGCACTGAGGAGGTTCCTACCATAAATACCGTAAACATTAGTTTTACACTCTATATATATATACTTCATTTCTAGTAACCAAAACGAGGATGCAAGTGTTTAAAATCGAAAATAAATTAGCATTTGAACTTTCTGGTATTTTATAAAAACGCACATTTCAAATATGCATACAATGCATGAAAAATATTTCTAAGTTACATTCACCTTGTACTAGATGGTGCCAAAATCCAATCAGTTGAATTAATTAGTGAGCCTCGACTTATGAAAAATCTTATAGAAAATTCGCATATTCTGAGTCACTTTCATAAATGTTGTCTTACTGTTTTGTTCACCCATAAAGTAAGCGTAACAATGAGCAAATGTGGCATGTGGTCTGCGTGTCAGACTGTCCTAGATCTCCAGGGTTTCAGATTTGTTGATACTGAACATACTCCACACTTTTTTTGTTGTTGGCGCATTGTAAAAGTTACAGTCTCTCGTTTGTCGAGTTCAAAAAGATAGACAAAACTCTTTGAAGACGAATGTTGCTTGTGACTGCACACAGTATAGTCATACTTCCAAATTAGAGATAACAATACCTGGATCCTCAGAATACACTAGATTTCTGTTCGGATTTTCAATTCTAATTGTAAGCTTAAGAACAAAAAGCTGCTAATGTGAAAGGTGATAAACCACACCACATACATATTTATAGCTTGATAAAACTTGTTTATTAAAGACACATAGTGCTGATTTATTTATGACACAGATTTGTAGTGCTGTTTGTATGGTATATTCCGATAAAAGTGAGTTAACCTTAGTGCAATGATTAACAACGGAAGGTAA